CCCAGCCCCGTTCCCCCCGTTCCCGAGATGGTCTCCAGCCCACCTCGCGTTCCCAGGGGGTCCCCCATTCCCAGGGGGTCCCCGTTCCCCCCATACCTGAGGGGGGGTCCCCAGCCCACCCCCCGTTCCCAAGGGGGTCCCCAGCCCCATTCCCCCCGTTCCCGGGGGTCCCCAGCCCAGCCCCCGTTCCCGAAGGGGTCCCCATCTCACTCCCCGTTCCCAGGGGGTCCCCCTTTCCCACCGTTCCCAGGGGTCCCCAGCCCAGCCCCCGTTCCCGGGGGTCCCCCAGCCCCGTACCTGAGGGGGGTCCCCGCCAGGCGCTGCGCGTGCCGCGCCGCCACCCCCGCGTTGTTGAAGAGGCAGAAGCCCCCGGCAGAGCCCGGGCGGGCGTGGTGCCCGGGGGGGCGCAGCACGGCCAGCGCCGAGCGCACCTGGGGGGCACCGGGGGGGTCGGCCAGGGGGCACCGGGACCCCCGAACCCCGCCGGGACCTCCAAACCCCAGAGAGACCCCACAGGCCCCACTGGGACCCCCAAACCTCGCTGAGACCACCCCTAACCCCCCTGAGACCCCCAAACCCCACAGAGCCCCCCAGATCCCACTGTAACTCCCAAATCCCAAACGTCATGAGACCCCCAAACCAGAGATCTTAAACCCACGGAGATCCCCAAACCCCCCTGGTACCCCCACATCCCACTGTGAACCCCAAACCGCTCTGAGACACCCCTGACCCCACAGCAACGCCCCCAGCCCCATAGAGCTGCCCTGACCCCACAGAACCCCAAACCCCGGCGGGACCGGGGGAGCCCAGCAGGGCCCAGCCCCCCCCGTGCCCCCTCTTTGCCCACCTGCCCCCCAGCAGGGCTCAGCCCCCCAGCCCGTTCCCCCCTTGACCCCATGCTCCCACTTCACCCCCCGTACTCTTCTTCCTCCCCCGTGCCCACCTGCCCACCCAGCACGGCCTCTGTGCCCCCTTTGTCCCCTCCGTGCCCACCTGCCACCTGTGCCCACCTCTCCCTCCAGCACGACCCCCTTGGTGCGCCCTGTCCCCCCGTGCCCCTGTCGCACCTGTCCCTGCAGCACAGCCCCTGTCCCCCATGCCCCCCCCTGTCCCCCCTGTCCCCCTCTGTCCCCCCTGTCGCACCTGTCCCCGCAGCACGGCCCCCGCAGCCGCGGCCGCGCCCCCCGCGGCCAGGCGGGCGCAGCCGAAGGAGCGCGGGCACAGGTACACGCTGGGGTAGCGCTGCGACAGCGCCCGCAGCTCCCGCGGCGACAGCGACGGCACCCGCGACAGCGCCCGCACGTGAGCGCGCCTGGGGACACCGCGTCAGCACCGGGACCGCGCAGCCGGGAGAGACCCCCCAAAACAGCCGGGGGGAACCCCCAAAACAGCCGGGAGAAACACCCCGGAACAGCCGGGAGAAACCCCCCAAAACAGCCGGGGGGAACCCCCAAAACAGCCGGGAGAAACCCCCCAGAACAGCCCGGACAGCACGGGGACCCCACACAGCTGGGAGAAACCCCCCAAAACAGCTGGGGGGAACTCTCCAAACACAGGGGTCACCCCAAATACCCAAACCCGGGTCACCCCAAACCCCCAGAACACGCAGGACCCCCCATGACCTCCCATGTCCCCCCATGACACCCCCCAAGGTGACCCTCATGAACCCCCAGAACTCTCCATGATCCCCCCTGTCCCCCCCCCCAT